CCATTTATTTACTTGTTCCGGGGCAATGAATTTAACGAACTACTGTGTATTTAGAGTGATTAGCCCCTAAAGTCCATACTAAAATTTTAAATTAGACTAAAGATGTCTCAGTAATCATTATTCATTGACATTACCATAATTCAAAGTTGGGCCATGTGATGATAAGATATTTTGGCCTTGTATTTTTGTTGGCAACGAGGAACAAATGCTTGCTGCTTGGTTTAAAAATTGGACTCTATATTCTTGTCCTTCATGTCATTCATGTTGAATTTTGTATCCACATTATAAACTTTGCTACATGATGGAAAAAACAGTATAAATATGGAGTACAAATAAAGTCAGCTTAATGATTTTCACCTTTCAATCTTTAATCAAATCAGTGCCTCTATCCCATTATCAATTAAATTATTGAGACTGACTAGAAGCTAAGCGCCCCTTTCCCATTACCAATAATCACCATTGACATTTTACTAAATATAGTAAGTTGTACCATGCTCGACTGTTGTATGTTGACTCATAGATTTTAATTTGTACTTCGTATTAGTTAAGTGTGAATACAAATATATTCACTAAACTAATACGAAGTATTAACATACGAGTAACTTTTGTGGAGTTATGTAACTTTAAACCAAAACTACATCTACTATACATAGCTCTACTTTGATAAGTTAGTAGCTACAACTATTAGATAATTGCGAGGTCGGACTTACCTTGAGCCCTTGTTGATGCTCTAGGTGAGTCGCGCTGTCTACCCTACGGCGGCTTACCCTATTAAAGTACTTAAAAGTTACAAATTGCATGGTGTAAAACTGTAAATGCATCTTCGAAATGGGGGTTCCCATTAAAGAAATAGGGAGGGGATCGGAGAGAAGCTTGGTCTGAGCTAGCTAGGAATTGCAGGGCTCCTTTTCTGTCTTAAAGAAGGGGCTAGCTGGATTTTGCAGGCAACCCCATGCAACATTTATGGCCACCACCATTTTTCTACGTACAATGCACTCCTTTATTATTGTACAAGTATATACGTAAGATAATCACCCATAGCTTTTCAAGTTTTTGCCTCATATTATAAATAAGTTAATCGAGTGACATTTTTTTTTTGTTGTTGTTTAAAGAGCCACAAAAACGGATGATAAGAATCGATCCTAGGATTATCTGGAATCGGGAGGGGAGCTCTAACCACTTGAGATATCCCTCACTCTCACGAATGACATTTAGGCCCTGTTTGATTCACCTTAATTTTGCTGAACTGAAATTATTTTTACTGAACTGAATTTATTTTTACTGAACTGAACTTAATTTTACTGAACTGAAATTATTTTTACTGAACTGAATTTTTTTTTTTTTACTTATTTTCTATTATAATTCTTATTTAAGAAAACTGAATTTTACTAAACTGAACTTATTTTTACTGAACTGAAATTTTTTTTACTGAACTGAAATTAATTTTACTGAACTAAAATTAATTTTACTTAATATAATTTTTTTAAGGTGAAGAGAACAGGCCTTAGTGAATAATAAAACTTCATTTATAATAACAAGATATACGTAATATATTTATAAACGGTTTTTTTGATAATAGAATCCACTTTGATCATACAGAGTATAATAATACAGAGTAAAAACTAATGGGACATGATTTGGTATAAGGCATAAAGCCATCCGGATTCTTGAATATAGAATTATCGTGACTTTCCAAGATTAGCATATATATGGCTCTGATTTGATTACATAAATTCCAAGATTAGCAAATATATGACTCTGATTTGATTACATATAGCTTTCAAGTTTAATTCATAATTTCCGTGTTAAAACCGTAGCCAAAAACTTGCAATTTTTATCATCAAAGTAATCCTAAATAAGATATCAGTATAAGATAGGGATAATCAGATAATCTTGTTGGAAAGGCATGTTCTTGTCTTTTTCAACTAAAAACTTTTCAAAGAAAGCTAACTAACCTACCATTTACAATTTGCTAAATAAGCAAGGCTTTGTTATCCACGGTTTATTAATAAACCACCCCTTCATGCCGCGGGGTGTTCATAAATCGAAATAGTTAATCAGACATAACTAGATATAACGCACGCATCGCGCGTGTTATCTTAAGTATTGATCTTATCATAATGTATGGTTGGTGCACCCGGGTGCACCATGCGCATGGTGCACCCGAAAAGAACATAAGGTATATTTAAAAGAACATGGGCAAAAAAAGAACATTATATATATTTATAAAGAACATGAGCATAATATGTTCTTTAAGTTTGATGATTATGTTCTTTGAGTTTGAACTATATGTTCTTTATATTATACAATATATTCTTTAATGTATGTACATTAAAAAAAAAAAAAATCAATCACTCGAGTAACCAGAAAAAAGAACATGTTATTTAATGTATTATCATGTTCTTTTCGTAAAGACTTTATGTTCTTTGGCTAGAGGTGATCAAAGTTAGAACGGTCCGACCCGATTTTGGACGGGTTTTGGGCGAAATTTTTTTTGCCCCCAAAATCGGGTCGGACCCGGCCCTTTAATTTAATTTTTTGGGCGGGTTTGGGAATGCGTTTTATGCATTTTAGTTGATTTTTTTACTCGACCCAAAAGGCCCGCACGGCCGGACATTTTGGGCCAAAAACTTCGGCCCAAAATTTGGCCCGACCCGAGAAGTGAGCTGATTTTTTTAACCTTGGCCCGGTCCACCCAATGATCACCTACATCTTTGTCAAACACGAACATGTTCTTTTTTGTCAAATATAATGTTCTTTTTCAAACACGTTCAACACCTAAATAACCATGAAAAATAATATGTTCTTTTTGTAAAGACTTTATGTTCTTTGTAATGTCATGTTCTTGTCAAACACAAACATGTTCTTCTGTCAAACATAGGTATGTTCTTTTTCTAACACTAGCATGTTCTTTTTTCTTTTTCCCATGTTCTTTTTTCTTTTTCCCATGTTCTTTAAAATATGTCTAATGTTCTTTTCGGGTGCACCATGCGCATGGCGCATCCGGATGCACTATACTATTTTCAATCTTTTCACTGCACCTTCAAGTTACCTAAGATAATTTACTCTACAAAAGTTATATAATCATAAAAGATTGAATGTTCCTAATTATTCTAGTAAAGATTCTGATATACCTTTATTTAGAAATCAGTATAGTCACTTTCGATTGTTAATCACAATCATACTTGTATTAAAATATTATATTTACATCACCTTCAATTACTCTATTATTGTGATCTCTTATTCTAGCTCTTAATTCAGATAATCAACTCGTCAAAAAAATAAAATAAAAAAATTAAGATAATCAAAACTGTTTGCGTGCTCTAACTCGTAGCTACTGACACAAGACAAATGAGCCAAATTTTATGAAATTATTAATGATGCGTGACGCACCCGTAAAGAATTAAATCGTAATATACTTATAAAAAGTTATTTACTTTTTGGACCTCTCTAGTTAACCTAACTACGTACAGTATTATTTAGACCTGGTCGTATTATTTGAAAAACGACGTTCTATTTTGGAAGATTAAGGCTCGTCATTTTCGCCGTTTGCTGCCAAATATTAAAATTTTAAAAGGGAAATTGCAAGCACATGAAAGAAAAGTTTCTAGTAAAAGTAAACACAATATAATGCTACTACATACTAGCTACTAACAAGGACTACAAGGTGGAAATATGTTAGGAAAGATATTATCATATCTTTAGGATATATTATTTGATTATGCAAGATATATTTCTAGTTTATCTTAGGAAAGGTTTGTTAGTTTCCTAAGCTTGATAGGTTTTGATATGATCTCTTGCTTGGAGCCCAAGGGGCAAAACTTGTATAAATATCCATGTTGGTCGAATGTTTTGATCAAGAAATACAATTCTAAATTCTTCTAATTCTCTTAATATTATCATGGTATCGGAGCTAAGGTAATAACAAAATTAAATTTTTTTTTTAGACCACCATGGCCGACACACCACCATCACCACCTCCTAAAATCGAGTCTAACTCGCCCTATTACCTTGGACCTCAAGATCGTCCGGGTGATTTTATAACTTCTCAAAGACTTAAACTTGACAATTACAATGAATGGTCTCACGCAATCTATATTGCATTATCTTCCAGACGCAAATTTGGTTTTCTTGATGGCACAATCACGAGCTATGCTCCTCCTTGCACAAAGGATGATAGGGGTTACGATACATTGTATGCTCGTATCGTGGCTTATGAACACCATTGACTCTGAAGTTCGTTTTATGCTTTCGAACTATGACAATGCTAAAAAGCTATGGGATGATTTGCAAGAACGCTTTGGACTTGTGAATGGCCCTCGTATACAACAAATAAAATCAGAAATCAGTCGGTGTGAGCAGCCGAAATCCATGCCTGTTGCGGTTTATTTTAGCAAATTATCGGTCTTATGGGATGAGCTTGATAAACATGAACCTTTAATCAATTGCAAGTGCGGCAATTGTACATGTGATATAGGAAAGCAGCATATTGCACGGCGCGACGGTGACTGACTCCAGCAATTCTTGCTCGGGTTGTATTCGGATTTCTATTCCACCTTGCGCTCCACTCTTCTTTCTCAAGATCCCCTGCCTTCATTAAACAGAGCGTTTCAAACGATCGCTCAAGAAGAACGTGTTAGAGGGATTGCCAACCATAAAGAAGAACCCCCTGAGGTGGTCGGCTTTGCAGTCCGGATGGAGAATAAACCGACGCCACCCTTTCGCGTGCGGAGAAGGCAGCCCTCGTATGCACCTATTGCCAGCAGAAGGGTCACGATGCAAGCACTTGTTTTGCGAAACATGGTGTGCCCGAGTGGTATACCGAGAGATATGGGTCAAAGGAGCCCAACAAACGACCTGTGGGACGCAGCAATAATACCTCTGATCGAGGACAGAACACACAAATTAAAGCCAATGCCACGCCTCCTACGACTGCCCCTGTTTATCCACCAGCCGCTGCACAAATCCCACCACTCTCGGCCGAACAGTGGCAGGCAGTCATGGCTGTCATGGGGAACACCCAACCCCCACCCCATCGTGTGAATGGTAAGTGGATTATCGACACCGGATGTTCTCATCATGTCACCGGAAATCTTTCATGCTTGACCGATGTGCGTGAAGTGTCTCCTTGTAATGTGGGCCTTCCGGATGGACAGAATGTTATTGCCATGAAGGAGGGAGTTGTCAAACTCACTGACAAAATCACTCTTTCTAATGTTCTTTTTGTGCCTAAATTAAATTGTAACCTAATTTCGGTTTCACAATTGTGCTTTACTAGCTCTTGTGAAGTCATAACTAACTCTCTCACATGTACTATACAAGACCAACGCACGAGGGAGGTGATTGGCACGGGTGATCTAAGGGATGGACTATACTATTTTCGGGAGGAGGCATCCATAGCGGTCGTTTCTATCGAAGACTCGTCCAATTTGAAGCTTTGGCATAGACGATTGGGACACCCTTCCGAGAAAGTTGTAAAGCTCCTTCCTTTTCTTAGCAACTCTAGGGGTCATTTAAATAAAGATTGTGAAGTGTGTCATAGATCTAAACACACTAGGGACAAATTTCCTTTAAGTGAAAATAAAGCTTCTCGTATTTTTGAAATTGTTCATTGTGATTTATGGGGGCCGTACAACGAACCCTTTTCTTGTGGTGCACACTATTTTTTGACCTTGGTTGATGATTATTCTCGTGCCGTATGGATATATTTATTGAATGATAAAACGGAGGTGTTTAAGATGTTTATGTCCTTTATAGCCATGATTGATAGACAATTTTCTCAGAAAATTAAAATAGTCCGTAGTGATAATGGCACTGAATTCTTTTGCTTGAAAAAATATTTTTTGGCTCAAGGCATTATTTTTCAAACATCTTGTGTGGGAACCCCTCAACAAAACGGGAGAGTAGAGAGAAAACACCAACACATTCTCAATGTTGCTCGTGCCCTTAGATTTCAGGGGGGTTACCAATTTATTTTTGGGGAGAATGTGCTCTTGCGGCGGCTCATCTAATTAATAGAACACCATCTGTCATTCTAAACAATAAAACTCCATATGAAATCTTATTTGGCACCCCACCATTGTTTAGTGAGTTGCGGGTTTTTGGGTCCTTGTATTTTGCTCATAATCAAAGGGCAAAAAGTGACAAATTTGCGAGTTGTAGTTGAAAGTGTGTATTTGTTGGGTATCCTTTTGGTAAAAAGGGATGGTATTTATATGACTTGGATAAAAAGAAGTTCTTTGTCTCAAGGGATGTTCGTTTCTTTGAGGATGTGCATCCATACTTGGATGCCGACGGTACAAATATTGATGTTTCAACACCTAACATGGATGCTAGTGTTGACTCGGGAGGGGACTTGGATGCTACATACATACTCGATGAAGACCAAGCCACCCTCGACGACCAAAGGCGGCAGCAGCCGCCTGTGGTTACGGTGCCGCCACAGCCGGCTGTGGCTGTTCCAACCCCCAAAGCTACGGTCCAAGAGGATCCGATAGCAACAACCACGACCCTTGATGACATGGGGCGTGGTCATCGACAAAAATTTGTGTCGACTAAACTCAAAGGATTTGTGACTCATGCTCAGGTTACCCGAAATAGTCCATCTTCTTCACCTGCTCCAGTTGCTCCACCTCCCTCAGGTATGCCGTATCCTATAGCACATTATGTTAGTTGTGATAAGTTTTCTGCGAAACATCAAAATTTTGTTGCAGCTATAACAGCAGGTAAAGAGCCTCGTTCCTTCAAAGAGGCAATGTGTGATGAAGATTGGAAGCAAGCAATGAGGGAAGAAATGAATGTTCTTGAAAGCAATGGCACGTGGACTTTGGAAAATTTGCCTCCCGGGAAGAAGGCCCTTGGTAGTCAATGGTTGTACAAAATTAGCATTGAGCGTTTAAAAGCTCGATTGGTTGTCTTTGGTAATCATCAAAACGAAGGTATTGATTATGATGAAACATTTGCTCTCGTGGTCAAGATGACGACTGTTCGTGCTTTCCTAGCTATAGCTGCTTCGAAAAATTGGGAACTACATCAAATGGATGTGCATAATGCTTTCCTTCATGGTGATTTGACTGAGGAATTTTATATGAAACTCCCACCAGGTTTTACTACAGATGAACCGGGTCTTGTTTGTCGCCTTCGCAAGTCTCTATATGGTCTCAAACAAGCTCCGCGGTGTTGGTTTGCCAAGCTCACTACCGCTTTGAAAAAATATGGTTTTGTACAATCATACCCGGATTACTCTCTCTTTACATATACCAAAGGGTTTATTCAACTCAACGTTCTTGTTTATGTTGATGATTTAATTGTGTCCGGCAATAATTCAAATGCTATAAAATTGTTCAAGCATTATTTGAGCACTTGTTTTCACATGAAGGATTTGGGTGTACTAAAATATTTTCTTGGCATTGAAGTGGCTAGGAGTAGTAAAGGGCTATTTTTATGTCAACGCAAGTATGCCCTTGACATCATATCAGAGACGGGTCTTCTTGGGGCCAAGCCTGCTCACACGCCAATGGAGCAAAATCATAGATTGGCGCATGCTAAAGGGCCTCTACTGACAGATCTGGGTGCCTATCGACGCCTTGTTGGGCGCTTGGTTTATTTGGGTGTCACTCGACCCGACTTGACTTATTCGGTCCATGTATTATCTCAATTCATGAAGGCTCCTCAACAAGAGCATTGGGATGCCGCTTTAAGGGTGGTTCGATATCTTAAGTGTACTCCAAGTCAAGGTATTTTGCTTAGCTCGGATAGTGAGCTCTTGTTACAAGGTTGGTGCGACTCCGACTGGGCAGCGTGCCCTCTCACTCGCCGCTCTCTGTCGGGGTGGTTGGTGTTCCTAGGCAAGTCACCGATTGCGTGGAAACAAAGAAGCAGGCCACGGTTGCCACTTCTTCTGCCGAGGCCGAGTACCGTTCTATGTATGGCATTACTTGTGAAATTAAATGGTTGATAGGCTTACTTCTAAGCTTGGGGATCCAACATTCCCGAGCAGTCCCTATTTATTGTGACAGTCAAGCAACAATACACATTGCTCAAAATCCCGTGTTCCACGAACGCACAAAACATATTGAAGTGGATTGCCACTTTGTTAGAGATGCCGTGCAAGAAGGACTTATTGCTACTACTCATGTTCGCACCAATGAACAATTGGCTGACATATTTACGAAAGCCTTGGCTCGTCCTCAATTTGACTACCTTCTTAGCAAGTTGGGCACATTCGATCCTAGTGCTCCAACTTGAGGGGGGGTGTTAGGAAAGATATTATCATATCTTTAGGATATATTATTTGATTATGCAAGATATATTTCTAGTTTATCTTAGGAAAGGTTTGTTAGTTTCCTAAGCTTGATAGGTTTTGATATGATCTCTTGCTTGGAGCCCAAGGGGCAAGACTTGTATAAATATCCATGTTGGTCGAATGTTTTGATCAAGAAATACAATTCTAAATTGTTCTAATTCTCTTAATATTATCAAAATATAATAATATCTAATTATGTAAAAATCAACTTGGAAATTATATAGCAATTGGAAAAGGATGAACTTAATTATGTCAAATAATGAATAATAATATAGAAAACCCTTTGACAAATAGGTTAGATTCAATTCAAAGCCAATAAACAGGCGATGAATGATGATTCTTGTAGATATAACTCCGTGGATCAAACTTGCAATTAAGAAAAAAAAATATCGACGTATTACTTGTAAATCAAATTACATGTTAAAATCATTTTAAGATGGAGATTCATACTAACTATCTTTTATTACACGAAGTAGATATTATTCACTTAATTTATATTTTTTGTAAATACTGATAATTGGAAACAATTTAATATACTCGGAAAAAAAAAATTTAACATATGTTATTGGTTGAATGGTTGTTCTGGTCTATTTTAATTTCTGTGTGTTCTAAACAAATCCATGCTTACTAAAGTGATTACACAAACATTTGACGAGGAGGGCAAAGTAGGAGAGACGATTGAGCTTACATTCATCGAACCCTGAGCATTGGTAAAGGAATATGATCACTAATTTGTAGTTACACGATTACAACATAAATAATGTGAAATGAGATATTGAGATTGCATTGTATAATTGTTTATTTATGCTCTAAACTTTTACAGTACAAGTTTTATTCTCCAATCAAGTTTTACCAACACACACATTGTCACACTCATACACACAGCACAAAATAAAGTTAAAAAAGAAAAGAAAGTTTGACTTTTTGGTAAACAGAGATTAGGGAAGTGAACATACTAAAATTGGAAAGGTCCAATGCTTTGTACGTTGGAAGAAATGGAAATATTGTCAATTATAGGCAGCTAATACATGTCAAAAGCAGCAAGGCTTAACGTGGAATTGCAAAAGCAAAAATGTCAAAAATAACAAACATCAGGGCCCAGAGGACGGTCCAATCTAATTTAAGTGCAAGAAAAAAAAACTTATTTGACTTAATTTGTTTCAAGATTACTCCATAATTAAACAACTCGTGAGTATATTACCACATGAAAAACATTTCTCCCGAGTTTTAATTTCACAAGAAAATTTCATCTCACAAGTGTAATTTCTTGATTTTATTATTTTGTTTAGTAGGTAATGAAATTGTTTTCACGAGAGTTTTATTGATACTATTTGCAAAGTTAAAGACCAATTTATGCTATAAGTCTATAACTTACACTTTTATGCATAATCCTATACTTTTTAATATATCAACCTTAACCATTAAAACGGACTCACTGAGGCTTGTCACTCAAAGTAGCTTGTTTAAGTGGATGCATAGTTTTGATGATAGGATGTACAATATATTACCTCCGTTACATATTATTTGCAACGATTTGACATAAAGTAGAGAGAGAAAATATTTAATCGTCGCAAATAATATGTAACGGAAGTAGTATTACGTATTTAAATTTGTCCTATTTTGGACTTTGATAATAGTAGTAGAATTTCAAATAATTCAATAATCTATGTATTAAAGTTAAAAGTCTTTAATAATTTAGCATAGAAGGGATTATAAATAACTATTTTTCCCATATAAATATATAATACTTCGTACATCATTAAGAATTTATCCATATCAAATAAAATAGACTTAGATACCTTTAAATTTTTTTTCTATATTTTTTCCCAAAAAGAATAGTAACACTCCTAGAAAAATATTTCCATACCAACTCAATAAGGTTCAATAATATGTTTATGGCTTCATTGTCTAGCTTAGCATCTTCATTATAAGCTGATGAAGTTACTCCGTAATATAGTTTGTAGTATTACAATAGTAATTAGAAGGCAGAGCACGTGCACGTGCACATGCATGCATCAAGTAGAATAGAAATGGAAGAGAGCAACCAGGGAAATCCACTCGTGCACTGTGACCCGGGAGGTTCGGGTATTCTTGCGTTAGTTGTCAAATGCTTTTGTCTCGTTTAATTTCCATCTATTCTTTCATCTATCTTTGCCTTCCTGTCACATAATTAATCATGCAACTTGTGGGTTGCACTTGTCCATGCTAATCCTACACCTTTATTATTTGTAACACCCACCTGGATTTTCTCGACACCCTATAGAATCGTTTTTTTTATAGTTATTTATGTCGAAAGAGAATCTGACCATATATAAGGTTAACTTCTTTGCAATCAATTATTGTTTATAATTTATAAGTTATTCTGCATTATTATTTAATTAATACGGCCTTGTGGGGCAATAATCTCAACTTTTACAACTATATTCCATAAAAAATTAATTAACTGATGTAAATACTACCCCCGTTACAGGTTATGTGCAACGATTAGACATTTTTCCTCTCTACTTTATGTCAAATCGTTGCACATAACCTGTAATGGAGGTAGTAATGTAATACTTTTGTCTCCATAGTATATTAGTACTTGTAAATTGTTATTGTGTTACGTTCCTTGTCACCTGATAGCTAGTGACGCTGGTACAGTGTTATAGATTTACACTATAAAGAAGGATAACATATCTTGATGCCATTATATTGGCCGTGGAAATAGCATCCTTTGATTTGTGCCAAAACTGAAAAAGAAAGCTCAATCATAGGTTGATTGCAGCCATAAGTGGGATATCAAGTACGTTTAGACAACAGAGGTTGGCCCAACTACATTATCATATATTCTCAATTTTTTTATTTATTATTTTTAAAACACAAACATATAATCTTACTTGTATTATTTATGCAATAATAATAATCATACGTAGTATTTTATATGATAATATTAGGAATCAGTGAATCACACAGAAGATAGATGAAGACAATCATTACTTCATTAGGTGTATGTGCGTTAATGCGTATGCCAAATTTGTTGTTATGTACCAATTATTTGCAAGATTAATACTGTATTTTACAAATGATGGTGATTGCTCGCCGATAATGTGTGGATTCTAGTCAAACTAAAACCCTTGGGGACTTTAATTATGTGCATGTCCTTCATATCACCCAATAGCAAACTAGCTAGAATTTTAATTCAAGCCAAGAAAAAAAAAACTTAATTGAGTGTAGGGTGGTAATGAGATTAAATCTTAAAATATATCATGTGTGTCATAGTACGTAAAAATTTAAGCCTTTAAATCGCATTTTCTTAATAGCTTGGGTGACAATTGTCATGCCGTGTTGGTTCATTAGCACTTTTAAGTGTTTTTTTTAGCCTTTTATTAATAGTTTGTCCAGCCCATCCTAATCCGTAATTACTAAACACGTTCATGTTAGCCTTTCCATAACTCTACTACGTACCATCAGCATCAATTGTGTCTAGCAAAGAAAATTGGATCAGATCCGATCCCTATAAAGTTAGTTAGCACAATTCAGTTTTATGGCTAGTTTCAATGCAAATCTTTAAAGCAAAGTAGCTGTTCTATACAGAATATGATCTGCTTGGCTATTGCCAAATTGAAGCAACAAAAATAACAGTGAGTGTGGCTAACACTACGGCAAGATAAAATGCTCCTGACCCAGGGCAACTTATATTACGCCACATTATTATAATGTTATATTATAATGTTATATAAGTTATATTATAATGTAATGAAAGTGTAATTTGATGAATTAATACGGCCACTGCAATCATCCAACTGTTTCCATCTTGGGGGGAGCAAATGAATGATGATGAGAGGCGGAGGATAAACCATATATCTTGACGGCTTTTTGTCGGCAATTATACAAATTTAATTTATGCATCTATGCGTGTATTTGTTTTAGCCCATAACTATATTATAATGGGGTTGCTAACTTTTTAATCAATCAAACACTCTGCTCTTGCTTTTAATCTCTACCAAAAGACCCTGGCCCTGCATTCCCAACAAATACTTCAGTTTTATTTGATGGTGGACTACTGGAATGGAGAACACAAGTTTTGAATCACACGAGTCCATAAGGTTAAGAGGATTTAAAGCTCTGTACACAATTACGTTTAATTCAACCTCATTACGAAGTATTATTTTTCATTATAACTCTACGATAAGCCCATAAATATAGCCTTAATTTCAAAACCTTTATTTGTTTCACATTAATGCATTTACACTCGACATATATTTTACAAATTGATAATCTTTTCAAATAATTTATACTATGTATTTGTAACTTTATTTTTTTTCGATATTTTCCGAATCTATGTGGGTATCATGGTAGTATCCAATCATCTATGAATATCAATACCAAATGCAAATTGCCAAGTATGCATCATATTGCATTTGCATCAACATGAACTATCCACTCTCCGGTCTCTCACATTTCTTTTTCATGAAAGGTGGAGCTTAACATCAAACAAACTACTAGGACCAACTGCTTTTATTTATGTACACGCTGTAAACACGCTTATTCAGAATGAAACCCGAATCTAGTCCACCCGATTCTATTCGGCCCACTAATTATTAAGCCTGACCCATTGCCCCATTGGGGATTTAACAGTTCTACCTGGGCCAATAGATAAGTCATATCCAACATGTCATTCCTTAGCCCAGTTTTTGTTGGATTTGATGTTGATTCCTTCATTTCAATGTTACTTACCGGTTTGAGCTGCATATTTATCAATGCATAACTTCGTGGATAATCAAATATTCTAACCATCAATTATAAATTTTTGATATAAAATGAAGTATTAATTTAGACGAATCCACATCTAACAAGCCTGCCAGACTAACATGACATTACTTTTAATACCATTATGACAATTACAATTTACGAACGGCAACATTTTACAAGGGAAGTTACTAGAAGCAGTGGAGATCTAGCCCTCGCGACCCTTATCTTTTTTAGCAACCGTCACCTTAAATAATTTTTTTGTAATATCACATGGTAATACTCACATATGTTATACGAAGTAATGGTCAACATATTACCTTTGTATTCGTCACTATTTCACCATCATTGTACATATTTGTTGTATTATAGGCTTTATAGCATTGGCTAGTCGATTACCACCATGTTGGACACCAAAACTTTAAATGTATGGTTTCACCCAAGATAATTCAATTTACTTAATCACGTCATGTCAGGTCATGCCATGTCGAATCATCTTTCATTAAGTAAAAATCAATATAATCCCATGCACAACAATGTATATATCATGAAATAGCATGCTTTTTTCCTATTGAACTATGTCGTGTGATAGTATCTCAAAACGTCAAGGAGTATCTAGAGTAACGAACGTTTTAGGGGCCAAGAAATATCGCCAAATGTCAAAAAAGGATTGCCCTCTCATTTCCTTATCTCCTCGTCTCTCTCATCCTCCCTGCCAAACTGCCACAAATTGTTAGTGTGCAAAAAATACAGGGGAGGAAGAAACCCAGAGGTTTAGGAGAAGCATGTCTGCCACACTCTCTGCTTTGAATCTCCCCTCATTACCTCTCCGAATTCAATCAAAACTCCACACTCCTTCCTCCACTCAAACCCCATCTAAATTAAACCCTAATCCAAACAAATTAACCCTAATCAAACAAGATCAAGATCATTTTTTTCATCCTTTAAAATCTTGTGCTCTTCCTCTTTCTACTCTCGCATTGCCCTTCCTTCTAAATGCCCAGGTATTTTTTTTCATTTTCTTTTCAATTTTTGATGAAAACTTTCATCTTTTTTTGTTGATTTAATTTTACTTGTAATTGAAAAATAGGATGCATTGGCGGTTGAGGGTCAATTGGGGATATTGGAGGGAAGAACAGCAGCATTGATACACCCAGCAGTGATGAGTGGGCTATTTGTTTATACATTGTGGGCCGGTTATTTGGGCTGGCAATGGCGTAGAATTAGGACTATCCAAAATGAGATTAATGAGCTTAAGAAGCAGGTTAAGCCTGTTGCTGTTACTCCTGATGGTTCTCCTACTTCTGATAATCCTGCCCCTCCCTCTCCTATTGAATCCAAAATCAAGCAACTTACTGAGGTTTTTTTTTTAATCTTTCTTTAATTGTACTGTCTTTTCGATTTAAATTTATTTATTTACTTGATATCTTGTTATGTGTATATTTAATTGATTTTAATGATGAAAGTTAGTTAAGTGGTCTGATAATTCGGGTTGGAGAGACTAGAAAGTTACATTTTCTGATGTTATAGACTTATAGTTAGTTGATCATGATTGGATTTCTTAATATAATTGTGTCCTGAACAATGGTGATAACTCTGGTACCAAGTTAATTCGGTACATACTTGTATTATTACACTCTTAATTATCGTTGGAGAAAGTAGAAATCTTTTCTCGAGTTTTCTATATATGTGAAATATTGTCACGGTACCAATACTCAGTAACGAGTGATGGAGAGAGGATGGGAATGACAATTAATTTTTAACAAGGATGGTCTAGACGATTAGTGAGCAATTCTAGCCTTGGCTGTTCAAACAGAAGTTTTAGGTGAAAGATGACTTTTTTCTTGGCTCCCCACGACGAGACCATTTAGAAGTCACTTTGAATATCAAGCTTAAACAGATATATGTGTTTGTTAAATTTCGAGAAAACTCCTCAAATTGGAGTGTGTACCATTGATTACTTTATCAATAAGTATACAAAATATATACATATATATGTGACAAATATTACCTATATATAATATCTATCCGTGTTATTAATTATAACCCTTTGCCGTATTTTTTTTTCTTCCACCTTGCACTAGTCCTTGCATCTTTGATGTGAACCTCTTTAGTTCAATTGACTCATCCATTATAACTTAGCCTTATCATTCACTGCATTGTTGAGCCTATGTATGGTACAGGACAACAGGAAGAACCTTTCTAGCCTTAAATCACCAGGATAGTTGCATCGATTTTTATGCTTCCATGAGTAAAAATGAAAGTTATTAGTGGTTTTGGTTTTCTATCTCGACCATTCTATTAAGGCTGTGATGTGGTTTCAAGTGAGATCAAATCATTTCAGTGTTGGTTAATGATAATTTACTAAGAAAATTGATTTTCTATGTCATACCAATTGTGTGTGGCAAGATATAACCTTGGAATCTTGGATTGTTTATTGCCAGCTTCCATGGAGAATTAAACAACAATCTTGATCTTATATTACGAATATTACTTGATCTTAAGATCACTCTTAACTTTTGTGCATTCATATTTATGCCTTTGCGGTGATTTATCCCTGAAACCTTCTCTCTTTGTATGTATCCAGGAGAGAAAAGAATTGTTAAAAGGGAATTTTAGGGACCGACACTTCAACGCTGGCTCAATTTTGCTGGGGTTTGGTGTTTTTGAGGCAGTTGGTGGAGGACTTAACACATATATTAGAGTAGGAAAGCTATTTCCTGGGCCTCATTTATATGCTGGAGCAGGTATAGACTACTGCAATTTATGCAAGTAAATGCAAAAAAATAACTATCCAATGTGTTTTAATTGCAATGTTCTATGGTGTTGGAGAAGCTTTTATGGAAATCATTTCCTTGCTAGATTGCTTCTAATATTGTTTATTTTGCTTGCAAAACAGCAATTACAGTGCTGTGGGCAGCAGCTGCAGCACTTGTACCTGCAATGCAGAAAGGGAATGAAACCGCTAGAAGTCTTCACATTGCTCTGAATGCTTTAAATGTTATCTTGTTCATATGGCAGATCCCCACTGGAATTGATATAGTCTTCAAAGTTTTTCAATTCACTAACTGGCCTTGAATCGCATCAATTCAGGTCTGGCATTCCTTGCACATTCCCTGTGCTAAATTGTTTACTCGTATAAACACATAAGTTGTTTTTTCCTCCCTGTTCCCATTTCCTTGTCCCTGTACTGTGAATAGCTTTATACTTGCAAGGTGAAAATATGTATTGTCTAGCTGTAAAAATTGTAATGAAACATGAGATTCTGGTATCTACGGAGCTGTAGTGTTACATTCTTTTGAAGACTATTACAATGGGCTATGGAATTAGAGGGATGATTATAGACAACAAGTTTTTGTTTGTTTGTTTGTTGAACGAGCCTCAATAACCTTCTCCTGTGAGCTATTTATTCTGTATTGGCAATGGTGATGTTGTTATCAATGGTGATGTTATATAATTTATTTTATATATTATGAACTACTATTCTTATTACTGTCTATAATAGGGTTTTCGACTGTTCGGATGAGGTACGTTGGAATATAATGCTTGGATGAGAGACTTATGAAAATATTACTTTACAAGGGTGAATAAGGATCCATGTTCTGTTATTTGAAAATAGAATGAGGATTTGAAAATATAGTGCTAACTACTCCTACTCCCCCCCCCCCCCCCCCCCCCCCAATCTCTTTTTTTTTTTTTTTGGTTGAATTCTACTCCTCTTTTTTTCCTTTGGTTGAAAAGTTTTTAAAAAAAATGCATACTTTTCATAAGAAATTAGATTAAGACACTAGCTAGATACCAGTGACAACAATTCAGTGGAATTCTAGCATAAGCAGAGTATGGAAGCATAATATAGTACAACCTTATGGAACTTGTAAACAAAATATTTTCTGAACTTTTCATTTATTCGCGTTTTTGCATCCAGCTGTAAACCAAATTCCCCAGTGTAATCTCTTGCTTCTTCTACCACAGTAATTTATGTATGACATCAGTCATCTTCAACTTTATTCTTTTCTGTTTCGCTGCTATAGTATTAATCCCTTCCCCCCTTCCATTTGGAATCACATTCTGTTCCCTGTATGAGTTACCTTGCTTCTTCGTAGTGAAAATAGCATGGGCCTATGGGGTGTTGTGATTCATGTTTTGAGTACATTGTAGAAATTGTCGTTCAAGATTGTCTTTACATAGGGTATCAGAATTACATGAGGACCGCCTTTACGTTTTACAGTTTTCATTGAGCCCTACAATTGTTACTGCACGCTTCAGGAATAAATAATGTATCTGACTTTAGTAACCTTGATGGAGTAAAGTCAAGAAGTCTAGTGCAAGGAGATAGCATAACATCTGTAAAGTGATAAAAGATTTTGATAGCAGAGGCAGCAGAGCTTCTTATAACCGAGCTTTTAGATTCTTCAAGAAGTTGTATGTTTTTGCTAAGCTTACTATTGAGGTTTTAAAGATGCCCTGCATGATCACATGTCAAATGCTTTATAATGCAGTCCAATCTGTGGACGGTTGATGAGCTCTTCCGTTAATTTCCGAGAAGGGCCACAGCCGCAATAATGCAGTACAATCTGTGGACAGTTGTTGAATATCTTCCACAAAAGTAAGTTTTTGGCCGCTGAGGTTAAGAGACTGTAGATTGTGGAGAATAATATTATTAGCTTATTTTAGTTTCTTTCCTATGTTTCATGTTAAGCTTGACTTAAGAACCTTGTAATATAATAAAGGAAAAAGCAAGACACTTGCGAATGACTCAATTTGATCCCAATCGTGGTTAGTGAGCTTTTGTTAGCTGCTGGTGGGAGTTGAATCTGATGCCTTTCCCTTTTCTCTGATGTTATTTTGTACGGTTGTAATTTTCAGATTTTGTGTTATGTTTTGCTTTGTACATCTCCTAAGACTATATATATATGAACTCGTACCGATCCTTTTTCTCCACCCTCAATCGGCCTATTGTTCTTTAGAAGTCTATTTTAGGTTTCGATAATTTAAACATTTGACTTCCAACATGTCAAACCAGCAGTCTCGCCCATGGTTCCGTTTAGCCACTCTCCGACCCTCTCAGCAGCAGGCTCCTGCTCCTGCTCCTGCTCGAGCTCCAGCACCAGCACCTGCACGAGCACCAGCTCCAGCACCTGCACCACAGCCTCAAGCCCAACCTTCTCCTATGCCTCGACCTGCCCTCATGCGACCAACATTTAGGCCTTCTGCTACTCAGCCTCCTCCAGCTCAAGATGCTGCTCCTCGAGCTCCTGCTCCAACCCCTTCTGCCTCTGCTCCTCCTCAATTAGCTGTCACCTCTGCTGCTCCTGCTCCCTCTCCTGCCCCTGCCCCTGCCCCTGCTCCCACCCCCACCATCACCACCGGTTCAGCACCAAAGGCTCCTGCTTCTGCCCCCCCTGCTGCTGCTACACAGCAGCCTCCTCTCCCTGCTATTCGATCTCCTCCTGCAATCACTAGAACTCCCACATCAATAACTTCTGCATCCCCAGTCCCTCAAAAGTCGCCTCCTTCCAGTTCAATGCCCTCACCTCCTGGAACATCTTCATTGCCGTCACCTCCTAAACCAAAAACCCAACCTTCTCCACCTTCTTTGCCGTCTTCCCAAGCTATCTCTCGCTCCAGTCCACCTTCTCCTCCCAAACCACCTTCTCCTACCTCGCCTCCCAAACCTTCATTTCCCTCTTTGAAACAATTATCACCTCCCACGGCACCAACTGTTTCTCCGCCAAAACCACCCTCACCTCCCAAACCTTCATTTCCCTCTTTGAAACAAGTAACACCTCCCATGTCGCCAGATGTTTCTTCTCCAACTAAGCTCTCTTCGCAAGATGTTTCTCCTCCAAAACCTGCCACTACTACTTTTCGTCCAATGCCAAGATCTTATATGTCACTTCAAGAAACCCCTCCTCCTCAGTCACAAAAAACTCAACCCTCTGTTACTCCTCCTCCATTTACCCTGCCCCCTTCACAACTCCATTCCGAGAGAGACCGAGGGCTTAAAATGCCTCCTGTTGCTGAATACAAAACAGCCCTGCCCCCTTCACAACTCAATTCCGAGGGAGAACGTGGAAATAAAATTCCACCTGAAGCTGTAAACAAACCAGTGGTCGTACAGCATACTGTCGGAAAACCCAAGCCATTTCTCGATTCATATGGCAGTGATTCTCAGAAGCCTCGGATTGGAAAGAATGTTAAACCAAAAGAAAGAGACATTTACAGGAAGTCCTCAGATTCTGAAGATAGTGGCGTGAGAATTATAACTATTACTGGTGAAAACAAAGGCGCTATTATGGAACTTGGACGTGGTTCTGCTTTGAATAACCCTCACAAAGCCAGAAGTGATGGAGTCATATCAGAAGTTAATTACAATGGCAAAGAAGACATGTCTAAGCTGAAAGGTAAGGGTCATAATAATGCAACGACGAAACCTGGTGTGCCGATGCATGCATACATGAACAGCAATGTGCAAGGTATCAACAGCTCCATTGTGTTCAACAGCACCTGCACTCACAATGATCCTGGGGTTCATCTCTCTGTAACCCGAAAGCCGTTGAATGGTCATAGTCATGGGCTCCAGTTCAAGGACAATGCAGGAGAAAAGAAGAAAGGACAATGGCTCTCAGAGTAGAATTATATACTAATAATGTTTTAGGGAATAAAGGTGAAGTTAGTCGTCAAAATCAGGTCATAAGAAGATTTAAATTCTGATTCCATTAACTCTACTTCATACAAAATTTGAAGAGGCAGGACATAACCTGATATATGGCTGTCTGAACCATTTCCTGAGCTAAAGACGCCCCCAAATATCCTAAGGTTTTTTTTTTTCTTATTTTAATTTTTTTTAATAAGAAAAAGTACCGAAAGGCGAAAATGTTGTACTAATTATATTGTTATAAGTTGATATATGTACCTTGTTCTGTTATTTAGAGCACGTTGGGAATAAATTACATAAGTTAATGCTTTATGTTTGTTTTGCTTCTGTTATAATTGTTCTTTGTACTGTGTTGAATGACATACACATACCCACCTAGGAAGAGACTTGATCAAGGCTTGACTAATCCTTTATTAATTGCAAAATTATTGGGAGAGAAGAAACGTAGAGATTAAAATTGGTATGTTTGTGAGCAAAAGTTTCAAGCTTATATAATCTTCAATAAAAGATTCACTTGCTTTTGTACAATGTTGCAGTATGCCTTTTACATTTTTGTGCAGCTGAAGCTTCATGGTGCGGAGTATATCGTGATATGAGGTGCATGGGATGATGATGAGTATCCATTACATCTAGCATGTGTACAAAGTGGCGAATTGAAGATAGGTTATGTCATACGAGTAGTATTTTAGTTTATTGGGAAACATGTAAGGTGTACGAGTTAAAATTGGATGATTCGTTTAAACTTTACCAAGTTTAAAATCAACCCTCGAAAATATCCTAAACTTAGAGTTCAAACTAGTTTTGTATTTCAAGACTTTTCAAAACTTTTCGACACCAGGCCCCGAATCCTCCAAAATTTAGCGTGGATGCCTTCAATTTTGGAATTTTTTTTTACTATTTTTCGCCCGGAAATGAAAAATGCCAAAATGTATACCATGGTCCTGAATACCCTCTAGGAGTCCAATTAGGTGTGTGGAACCAGGCCCCGAATCCTCCAAAATTTCTCAAAAAGCGTGGATGCCTTCAATTTTGGAATTTTTTTTACTATTTTTCGCCCGGAAATGAAAAATGCCAAAATGTATACCATGGTACCGAATACCCGCTAGGAGTCCAATTAGGTGTGTGGAACCATCCAATTTGCTTTTAAACGGCCAATTTACCGATTTACAACTTGCACCGATTTCATTAAATAAAGCCTACCAGAAACATTTATGAAATCAAATAATGATCATAAATATTTTCAAACAGCATTATATGACCCCAAGATATATCCCCTAAAATTTCAAGACTTTTCTACATCAGGCCCCGAATCTTACAAAATTTCTCAAAAAACGTGGATATTAGCCTTTAATTTTGAAAAATATGACTTTTTCGCTCGTAAATAAAAATTGCCAAAATGTTTCCATGATCCCTAATACCGTCCCGGAGTCTCATTGGGTGGGTGGAACCATCCAATTTGCCTTTAAACGACCAATTTACCAGTTTAAAACTTACACCGATTTCATTAACTCAAGCCTACCACGAAAATTTATTACAACAAGTAATGATCATATATGGTTTCAAACGCCATTATATGACCCCGAGATGTATCCCCTAGAATTCCATGACTTTTCGACACCAGGCCCCAAATTCTCCAAAATTTCTCAAAAAGCGTGGATTTTAGCCTTCAATTTTGGAATTTTTTAACTATTTTTCGCCCGGATTTCCGGAATGTTTACCATGGTCCCTAATACCCTCTAGGAGTCCAATTAGGTGTGTGGAACCACCCAATTTGCTATTAAACGGCCAATTTACCGATTTACAATTTGAACCGATTTCATTAAATCAAGCCTACCAGGAACATTTATGACACCACATAATGATCATAAATGGTTCCAAACGGCATTATATGACCCCGAGATGTATCCCCTAGAATTTCAAGGTTTTTCGACACCAAGCCCCGAATCCTCAAAAATTTCTCAAAAAGCGTGGATACTACCTTTCAATTTTGGAATTTTTTTACTATATTTCGCCCGGAAATAAAAATTGCCGAAATTTTTACCATCGTCCCTAATACCCTCTAGGAGTCTAATTGGGTGTGTGGAAACCATCCAATTTGCTTTTAAACGGCCAATTAACCGATTTACAACTTGTACCAATTTCATTAATTCAAGCCTACCACGAACATTTATGACAACAAATAATGACAAAAAATGGTTCCAAACAGCATTATATGACCCCGAGATATATCCCCTATAATTTCAAATACTTTTCTACATCAGGCCCAGAATCTTATAAAATTTCTCAAAAAACGTGTATATTAACCTTCAATTTTGAAATTTTTGACTTTTTTTCGCCATAAATAAAAATTGCCGAAATGTTTCCAATGATCCCTAATACTCTCCAGGAGTCCCATTGGTGGGTGGAACCATCCAATTTGCCTTTAAACGAACAATTTACCGGTTTACAACTTGCACCGATTTTATTAACTCAAGCCTACCACGACCATTTATAACAACAAATAATGATCATATATGGTACCAAACGACATTATATGACCCCGAGTTGTATCCCCTAGAATTTCAAGACTTTTCGACACCAAGCCCTGAATCCTCAAAAATTTCTCAAAAAGCATTGATATTAGCCTTCAATTTTGGAATTTTTTTACTATTTTCCGCTCGGAAATAAAAATTGCCGAAATGTTTACCATTGTCCCTAATACCCTCTAGGAGTCCAATTAGGTGTGTGGAACCACCCAATTTGCTATTAAAAGACCAATTTATCGATTTACAACTTGAACCGATTTCATTAAATCAAGCCTACCAGGAACATTTATGACACCATATAATGATCATAAATAGTTACAAACGGCATTATATGACCTCGAGATATATCCTCTAGAATTTCATGACTTTTCGACACCAGGCCCCGAATCCTCCAAAATTTCTCAAAAAGCGTGGATATTAGCCTTAAATTTTGGAATTTTTTTTACTATTTTTCGCCCGAAAATAAAAATTGCCCAAATGTTTACCATCGTCCCTAATACCCTATAGGAGTCTAATTGGGTGTGTGGAACCATCCAATTTGTTTTTAAACGTCCAATTTACCGATTTACAACTTGCACAGATTTCATTAAATCAAGACTACAAAACACATTTATGACACCATATAATGATCATTAATGGTTCCAAACGCCATTATATGACCACGAGATGTATCCCCTTGAATTTCAAGTCTTTTCGACACCATGCCCCGAATCCTCCAAAATTTCTCAAAAAGCGTGGATATTTGCCTTCAATTTTGAAATTTTTTAACTACTTTTCGCTCGGAAATAAAAATTTTCGAAATGTTTACCGTAGTCCCTAATACCCTCTAGGAGTCTAATTGGGTGTGAGGAACCATCCAATTTGCTTTTAAACGGCCAATCAACCGATTTACAACTTGCACGGATTTCATTAAATCAAGACTACAAAGAGCATTTATGACACCATATACAGATCATAAATGGTTCCAAACGGCATTATATGACCCCGAGATGTATCCCCTTGAATTTCAAGACTTTTCGACACCAAGCCCTGAATCCTCCAAAATTTCTCAAAAAGCGTGGATATTAGCCTTCAATTTTTGAATTTTTATACTATTTTTCGCCCGAAAATAAAAATTGCCGAAATATTTACCATCGTCCATAATACCCTTTAGAAGTCCAATTGGGTGTGTGGAACCATCCAATTTGCTTTTAAAAGGCCAATTTACCGATTTACAACTTGCACAGATTTAATTAAATCAAGACTACAAAGAACATTTATGCATGACACCATATACTGTTCATAAATGGTTCCAAACGGCATTATATGACCCCGAGATGTATCCCCTAGAATTCCAATACTTTTCGACACCAAGCCCTGAATCCTTCAAAATTTCTCAAAAAGCGTGGATATTATCCTTCAATTTTGGAATTTTTTACTATTTTTCGCCCGGAAATAAAAATTGCCGAAATGTTTACTATCGTCCATAATACCCTCTAGGAGTCCAATTGGGTGTGTGGAACCATCCAATTTGCTTTTAAAGGGCCAATTTACCGATTTAAAATTTGCACCGATTTCATTAAATCAAGCTTACCACAAACATTTATGACAACAAATAATGATCATAAATGGTTCCACACGTCATTATAGGTCCACAAAATGTATCACCTATAATTTAAAGACTTTTCGACACCAGGCCCTGAATCCTCCAAAATTTCTCACAAAGCATGGATATTAGATTCAATTTTGGAATTTTTTTTTTTACTATTTTTCGCCTGAAAATAAAAATTGCCGAAATGTTTACCATAACCCCTAATACCATCTAGGAGTCCAATCGGGTGTGTGGAACCATCCAATTTGCTTTTAAACAACCAATTAACCGATTTACAACTTGTACCGATCTCATTAATTCAAGCCTACCACGAACAATAATGACATCAAATAACGATAAAAAATGGTTCCAAACAGCATTATATGACCCCGAGATATATCCCCTATTATTTCAATAATTTTTTACATCGGGCCCAGAATGTTACAAAATTTCTCAAAAAGTGTGTATATTAGCCATCAATTTTGAAAATTTTGACTTTTTTCCGCCATAAATAAAAATTTCTGAAATGTTTTCCAAGAAACCTAATACCGTCCAGGAGTCCCATTAGGTGGGTGAAACCATCCAATTTGCCTTTAAACGACTAATTTATCGGTTTAAAACTTGCACCGATTTCATTAACTCAAGCCTACCACGAAAATTTATTACAACAAACAATGATCATATATGGTTCCAAACAGCATTATATGACCCCGAGATGTATCCCCTAGAATTTCAAGAGTTTTCGACACCAAGCCCCGATTCCTCCAAAATTTCTCAAAAAGCGTGGATATAGCCTTCAATTTTGGAATTTTTCTACTATTTTTCGACCGGAAATAAAAATTGTCGAAATGTTTACCATCGTCCCTAATACTCTCAAGGAGTCTGATTGGGTGTGTGGAACCATCCAATTTGCTTTTAAACGGCCAATTTTTACCGATTTACAACTTCCACGGACTTCATTAAATCAAGCCTACAAAGAACATTTATGACACCATATAATAATCATAAATGGTTCCAAAAGGCATTATATGACCCCGAGATGTATCCGCTAGAATTTCAAGACTTTTCGACACCAGACCCCGAATCTTCCAAAATTTCTCAAAAAGCGTGGATATTAGCCTTCAATTTTGGAATTTTTTTAATATTTTTCGCCCGAAAGTAAAAATTGCCGAAAAATTTACCATTGTCCCTAATACCCTCTAAGAGTCTAATTGGGT